AAAGGCAGTGAATCTATATTTCAGCTGGGAATTCAAGTTGTTTATCAGACAGCTGCTTTGGAAATACTCTTTTGCATTCTCTAGCTTGTCTTTAACACTTGCCTGGCAAGCGCAAGGCCCTGAGTTCAATCCCTGGTTCCAAAATAAATAAATAAATAAATAAATATAAAAATAATAATAATAAAAGGAATGAAAGAGAGATCCTATGGAGCTCTGAGAGGGAAAGGCAGTGAATCTATATTTCAGCTGGGAATTCAAGTTGTTTATCAGACAGCTGCTTTGGAAATACTCTTTTGCATTCTCTAGCTTGTCTTTAATTTTCCAACCATGTGTTCCAAAGAACAGAAAATATTCATAATTTTAGCTCATTCCAGTATGTTTAGCTGTGGGCTTTTCCAATCTGTTGAGTGTTTCAATCTTGAGTCTCTCCTCCTTTTTTATATTTTTTTCATTATTTCGTTTTCATTCATAACCATAAATTTGATGGAGTGTTTTGAGCAGGTGGGACGCAGGGTGCTCCCCTGAGCTAGAGAAGTGGTGTGGTCTGGTGGTGATGACACACAGGTCACCTGTGTAAGAGCCGTCCTCAGGTAGTGACAGTGATCTTCTTGCTGGTGTTGCTGTTCCTGGACCCGAAGTGCTCCCCAGCCTCCACTGTGTTCCTGCCCTCTTTAACCTCCCCACACATCCGCCTATACACACACGTTTCTTTCACCTTGCCGTCCAGCCACTCGGTCTTGGCAGTGCAGATGAAAAACTGGGACTCATTTGTGTTTGGCCCAGCATCTGCCATGGACAAGCTATCCAGGCCCATGTGCTTCAGGATGAAGTTCTCAGCATCAAATTTCTCCCCGTAGATGGATTTGCTGCTAGTGCCATTGTAGCGTGTGAAGTCACCACCCTGGCACGTAAATCCCAGAATAATTCTATGAAAGCAGGAGCCCTTGGGGACCTGCCCATTAGCTCAGTTGTTTAAGTGCCTGCTTAAGCAAAGCAATCAGGCTCAGAATTCTGTGGTTCGATCCCCAGATCCTCATACCTTATCAGACCTGCCCTTAAGGCATCTTAAGTGGCCAAAAATAAATAAATAAATAAATAAATAAATAAATAAATAAATAAATAAAATTCTTTGGAAAGTAAAAAAAAAAAAAAAAAGCAGGAGCCCTTATAGCTAAATCCTTCCTCTCCAGTATTCAAAACACGGATGTTTTCTGCTGTCTTTGCGACTTTGGCTGCATATGGTTCGAAGGATACGCAGCCCAAGGGCTCGCCATCGGCTGCACTATCGAAGAGCGCGGTGGGGTAGATCAAGGTTGGCAGCGAATGACTGAAGGGGAGAGTGGTGGCGTCCGCAAAGCCTCTGCTGTTTCTTTAATTAGATGTAATTTTATCTCATGCTACGTTTGGTCGATGTTAGTGGCTAGTGTATTACCTTCGAGGGAGCTGAGCAGGATGAATAACAGGGCATTTTGTTGCTGAGGGTTTGAAACCTTTTATTGTCAATGGATCATCACTACCCAAATAACCACCAACTAAGATACTTTAAAATTACTATAAAGTAGACTATAAACTAGGTGTGGTGGTGTGTGCCTGTAATCCCATCTCTTGGGAGGCTGTAAACAGGCGCAACACTGTGAGTCTGATCTAGTAGTGAGACCCAGAACACCCTGTAGACCCTTCCCAAAAAAAA